ATAGTATACAGCACAGCACATAGTCCCCTTCTCATCTCCGTGCATATGCATTTATGCACAGTTATTTGGTAGCGACTATATAAGTGTGTCTGCATTTTTGTGCTTATCTAAGCAACCACCAAATCCTTGTTATTTCCCAAACACCAAAAACCGTGCAGTCCCCCCTGTTAATTCTCTGGGATTGCTCAAAATGGTGAGTTTATTGTATTTTTTTTAAATTTGGGCTCCCTCTAAAAATATGCTGTCTTAGAACCACAAGGCTCCCAGGCTTTGATAAAGAGTCCTGACTGTGAAAACATGCAGAATGCTTACGTGGTAGGCATTTGTTCAGTAGCTTCATCAACGACCCATAAAATGGGGTGGAGGGCACCCTCAGCAAGTTTGCAGATGACACCAAGCTGGGAGGAAGAGTAGATATGCTGGAGGGTAGGGCTAGGATTCAGAGAGATCTAGACAAATTGGAGGATTGGGTCAAAAGAAATCTCATGAGGTTCAATAAAGAGACATGTCAAGTCCTGCACTTAGGATGGAACGGTCCCATGCATCAGTACAGGCTGGGGACTGACTGGGTAAGCAGTAGCTCTGCAGAAAAGGCTACTGGCATGCTGGGCTGCATTAGTAGGAGTTTTGCCAGCAAATCAAGGGAAGTGATTATTTCCCTCTGTTCAGCACTGGTGAAGCCACATCTGGAGTACTGTGTTCAGTTTTGGGCTCTCTACTACAGAAAGGACGTGGACAAATTGGGGAAAGTCTATCAGAGGACAATGAATATGGTTTGGGGGCTGGGGCACATGACTTCTGCGGAGAAGTTGAGGGAACTGAGCTTATTCAGCCTGGAGAAGAGAAGACTGAGAGGGGATTTGATAGCAACTTTCAACTTCCTGAAGTGGGGTTCCAAAGAATATGGAGCTAGACTGTTCTCTGTGGTGGCAGATGACAGAACAAGGAGCAGTGGCCTCAAGTTGCAGCAAGGGAAGTTTGAGGTAAGATATTAGGAAAAACTTTTTCGCTAGGAGGGTAGTAAATCACTGGAACAGGCTGCTCAAAGAGGCTGTGGAATCTCCATCCTTGGAGGTTTTTAAGACCCAGCTAGAGAAAGCCTTGGCAGGGATGCTATAGTTGGGGATGATCCTGCTTTGGGCAGTGATTGGACTAGACATCCTGAGGTCTTTTCCAACCCTCATTTTCTATGATTCAGTGACTTCCTCCACTAGCAAAAATCAGAAACTCCACTAAAATTAGTGGAGCTGGACTGGTGTTCAGTTGGTGTAAGTGGCTCCAGAATTTCAGAGTGTAATTCTAGACATGGTAAGGATTTGTCTTGAGCTTAAGCAATACCTTGCCACTTCCTACACACCTTTCCAGCAATGGAACTGAAGGTTCTTGTTTGGATCCTTAGAGATCAAAAAGCCAATGCCTAGCCAATGGAGGATGTACTCAGGCTATATGCAGTTCAACACAGCGTCTCTCAGTCATTTCAGTGGCAGTGCACAGAGGTAACTGAGGTAACAGAATTTGGCCCTGCATTCCCTTCATCTCTTCCAAACAGTCCTGCTTTCTCTGATTTTTCTCACCCTCCAGTCTTAATTCAAGAGGGCCCTGCTAAGCAGTCAAATATTGAAGGGTGAAAACAGTAGCGTAACAGATATGGGGAGAGGGACATCAGAGTAGCAGTCCCCAGGTGCCACCTTTGCAGGGGAGAGTGCAACAATTGCTGAGGTAGTTGTTGGGTGGAATGCACCACCACCACCACAAGTGCAGCTCTATGTATCATTGTTACCCACAGCAAAGCACAGCCCTGCAATGCCTCTGGGTAAAAATATATAAAAATAATATTTTTTGTAATAAAAGTAGATATTGCAAAAGCCAATCTGAGCAGAAATGTATATACTAAATTACAGAAGGGTTAATGAAAGTTTATTAATGCAAGCATTTTCCTCTGCAGGGTTGTGATCCCAAACACAATTGTTTTGGGCTAGTGCACAAGAACCAGAGAGGTAATCAGAAGTTAATGGGGAAGGCACTGCACTGGGACTTGGGAGACTTGCTTTCTGTTCCTGGTTGTGGGAAATGAAGGGTTAATTGGGGGAGCAGGCTCTGGACTCTTATCAACTAATAATAGCCATGAAGGCTGCCCCTTGTATGTGCTCAATTTGCTCATTGAAGGGAAAAAAAATCTAAAACTGCTTTTTTATAAATGCTATTACAAGTAGTAAAATAAAACAAAAAGTATCTCTAAAATTCAGGTGCTACAAACTGCTAAATAAGGGGTTAAGCAATGCAATTATCAAATTAAATTCAGCTAAATGAATTCACAGCAGTAGTGGCTTTCATTCTCAATTTAGTCAAATAATCACATTAACACATCAAGCAATGAGTTCTTAATCTTCAAACAGGGGTTCAAGGGGGTTGCTGTTTGCTTAAATGCAAACCACAACTGGAAAATTCTTATTCATGGCAGTGACATCAGACTTGAGCTGGGTGAATGTTTCAGGTTAGAAACCAAATACACAGTCTCCAAAGTCAATTAATGCTTTCCTTCTAGAGTTTCACTCTCAGGTAGTTAACCTGGCTTCCTTTCCCAGCCCCCAAAATGTAAACACAGAATATCAACTGTAACCAAGATACTTTGATACAGGAGAGTTTTTAGCTGTGTTTCTACTGACCAATAGCAGCTCCATTTCTCTGGGGACTTTCACAGAACTAGGAGCAGATGCAATGTAATTACCTTAAGGAGAAATTTAAGGTTTGTTTACAGGATATACTTACCACTCTCATTCATGTGTTGGAACCAGCTACATACTTCCGGGCCCAAGTAGGAAAAATGTTTCTCAAGGTAAAACTGGAAAAGTAAAATATTTTAAATGAAAAAGGGATTTGAACTCTCCAGCTCACATGTTTTAGGGAGCTGTAACTGAGGTCACAGACCTAACACGAGTAAAGGCACTTAGAGCTTTTTGGTAATTGGTACGAGAGAGGGGTCAAGGTTAGGTGGTTAGTGTGGATGTTGTGACTTCCTTTGCTCCTGATATCATTGATTGGAAGGGCTGTGTTTTTGATACAGCTGGTGACCCAGAAAGCCCCACGCCCCCCACAGACCTTGTTTTTTTGCTGCAGATTTTTCCTTTCTGGGCGGTTTTGACACCTCCCTTGGAATGGCAGGCAGATCAAGCAGATAGCAAGCCAAGGAGGTAGATGACCTCCTCTTATCTCAGCACTAGGACTCAACACCAGACTATGGCTAGTTTGGAGAGTTCTCCTTCATTTAGTAGTTTCCTTCAGGTGTCTACCTCCACAATGCCACATTTGGCATGCCTCAAAATGAGGAAAAAAAGCAAGTTGAAGTTTAAGGAAATGACTCCAGCCTCCATCTCTAGGCTAGATTATCCAGTTGCACCACGCGGCATCAGCATTTGTTGTAGACATTGGCAAATCCATAACAATAATCAGTTGCCCAACAAAATCAGTCACTCACCCAGTTATCTCTCACATCCTTTCTTTAGTTCTTGAAGTAAACTTAACCCTGTCTTTTGCTAGCTGTCAAACTTATTCATTCACAAGCAAGAATGGAGGGACCAGTTCACTGAGTGAAGGTTCACATGGCCTTTATTGTGTTAAAGTGTATTGCTGCTGCTAGCCCCTCCTAAAAGCACAAAGCCATGCTAAAAATGTCACTATAAATATGCTTTTCATGTATTTCTTGGACCATCACAGCTACATTGTTCCAGCCCTACCACTATAAATGCTATCTGACATAGAGCTATTAAGTTTATACTAAGTCTTATGTCAAGCCTGCAACCTTGAACCCAGGACTTTGACCTGACCAGCAGTCATCTACCCCAACCTGCTATCCTGCTGCTGTTTCCAAAAGCTGGATGAGATCTGCCTAAAGCTTCCACCAGCACCTGAGTCTCTGCTTTCTCCCTGAAACTTGAGTGACTAGCACCTGGCACCTGACCTACACTTCCCCTATATAAAACCCAGAAAAGGACCAAAAGGTGTCTGGGAAATAGGGCTGTTTCTGATTTTAGACTTCACCCTAATAAACTATTTGCTTCTTGACATCCTGATTCCCTGACTCAGCTTGCTCATGGACTTCACTCTCTTCTTGATTTCCCAACTCAACTTGCTTGTGTTGTTTGCCTCCTGACTCCCTGGCTTGTGGCTTGTCTCTGGACTCTGGTCACTCTTTTTATCCCAATCCAGTAACCATAATCCCTGATTGCTTTCTGGCTGCCCATGTTTCAGTACTAAGAGTCTGTTATCTTGCATAGGGTCTATCTCTTCAGTAGCTATATCACTGATCTGCTGGGAGAGCATGGGCAAGCCACATCACCTCTTTGTGCCTGTGTTTCTTTTCCTACATGCATCTCTTTTGTGTGTTTAGACAGTAAGTGCTTTGAGACATGGACACTGTTGCACCAGATCTTTGTGCAGTAACTAGCACACTGGACTTCCTGCTGTGATTATGATGTAAATCCACATAATTTCCCAGGCAGAAGAAGGTGCAAATAGAAAAGAAACAAACTATCATTAGTGAAGAGCAAATTTAAAATCATAAATCATGTTTGCCAATCTCAAAAGGTGTTGGCAGCACCGAGTAGGTAGTTAGTTTTAGAACCTACTTATGAGGCCGGATCTTCTGCTGGTATAACTAATGAACCTCTGTTTGATATCAAGGGATCTAGTTTGATTTGCATCAGCCACAGACCTGGCCCATAATTATGTAGTACTCACCGGTGTTCACTGCCAAGTTTGCACCTCATCTGCATTTGTGTAGTCCCCCTGGCCTCATGGCATCACAAGGGCTTGAATGGGTGGGTCCATGTGCAAGCGATACAGTATAGTGGGCCAACACCTTCTTTGGCAAAAATTGCTGAATGCTAGCAGAAAACCACAGAGGTTTCATGATAAGAGAAGAGGGGAGCTTGGGTGAAGAAAGAGGAAAAACAACTGAAATGGGACTTCTTTATCTTTTCTGTTTCCTCTCATCTCCAAAGGGGTAACAGTGACCATTGCACCTGATGTCCCTGTCTTCCTCTCAGTGGAGAGTAACAAACACTTCTGCCTGGAGAGCCCTTCCAGCATAGACATGATTCCCTTGCAGTATATGGTGTGCATCAGTCAAAACATCACGTCTGCCCACCAGGAGGTGGGAAGCCAGCTCTCAGAACAGGAGAGGAGGCTTCCAAACACAGACATACTAGGGTAAGAGAGCTACACTATGACAAAAATGTCCATACCTTAGGACACCACAGCCTTCCACAGGCACCCACTTTTGGTCCTCATTCAATCAGGATAGGATCAACCCTATCAACCTGGAGAGTGAAAAGCTCCATTGGCCGTCACCCTGTGCCCTGAGCCATCTGGTCCCCCAGTGGACTGAAAACAAAAAAATGAATGGAAGCATTTCTCCTTCTGTTGAGGAGAAGTATTACCACAGTTACTAATGGAGCTAGAATCCATGATACAAAAGCCTGGTTGGCTGGGGATAAATAGTCACATACATTTGTGCACTGAAGTTCTGTTTCAAGTAAGCTTAGACCACATTTTGTTTAATGGGTAAATGCCTTTAGTGTTTTTCCCATACTTCCCCTTTCTGCTCCCCTCAGTGTTTCCAAAGACTTTGGTCACAACATCTGCCTAGTTGTGAGAAGACAGACATACCAATAATACCTCTTCACATCAAGCAAGCTCCTTTCTTTTTGCCTACCCCCATGCAGGTTACCAATCTGGAAGTATTATGGAGCAGCAGATTCTGCTGCCAAACTGGAGCGAGGTTTAAGGTCTTTCTTCAACAGACTGAAAAGGCACCATCTTGGGGCGGGGCTAATTGCCATCAATGAACATTCCACAATGATACTTTCCAATGCGGTAGGTGTGATTCTACAGAGTACCAGTAAGGTGGGAAGAACAGTATCAGCACAGTAAGGTTCTTCCTTCCATACGGTGTCATATACCATAGCTCTGCCTCCTTTCACATGCTGTGGAACTTTTTAGATTATATTTCTTGAGTGCACTGGGTGTGATACATATTAGGGGAAACCCAGAACAAAGCATGATAGGTTCCTACTGTTCTGGGGCAGGGAACAGGATGCTACTTATAAAGAAACCGGATGTCTCCAGCGTGGAGCTTTTGAAAACATACATGAGCTGCCTATATACATGCTCAAACGTGTGTGGGGGGGGGGGGGGGGGGTTTCTAATTAAAGCAGCTCACCCTCACATTTATTAAGCGCCTGAACATTTAAAAATGGCTGCATGGGCACTTTAAAACTCATTCAATGAGGGTTAGTTAAAGCACTCCTGTGGCCATTTTGAAATGCAGGGGGGCTTAATACACATGACAGTGAGGCGACACTGGAGTGTTTTAATTAGAATATGGAGCAGATCTGATTAATCGAGTTTGCTCCAATGCATTCTAATTAGAATGCGAATGAATGTGTCTTTAGGCAGCCATGCATGGGTTGAGTTCAGGGAACTGGGTATTAGAGAGAAGGTTGTGTTACAGGAGCAGTGTCTTTAATAGTAACCAACAGCCTAAAAACAGTTTTCAAATGAAATGAAACTTGTCTGTCTAAAATAGCAATTAAAAAAAAATCCATGATTTTCCACAACAAACTTTGGGGTTTTAATATTTCAGCTTATTTCTTTCTAGCAGCACAGTGGAAATAGGAAAGAGGGAAGAGTTAGGGAGAGAGCTACATGTTGAAAGTTCCTCATTGCAGGGACTGTCTTTCAGTAGCTGTACATGCAGCCCCTGGCACAATGGGGGAAATTTGTTCTACTGCTGTGAGCCTGTAGCAGCTGCTGTAAATCTGCAAATAATAAAGACTGTGATATTAGCAGCACAGACAGGTTTTTGTAGGGGGTGGGTGCAAAATCACACGATGACTTGCTTGTGGGGGATGTCTTGCTATAGTGGTAAGATTTACTCCACTGGGGAGTGTTCAGATGCCCCAAAGCAAATGGTGACATAAGGCAATCATGCCTCCTGATGCCCCACATATCTACACCCCTGGTCCTGCTTGACAAGCTTTGCATTCTTATCTCCACATCTACTTCCTTGATGACTTGTGCTATTATTGGCTAATAAGCTGTATTCTTCCCTCCCTCCAGGACCACACACACTTGCCTGGGACCAGCAGGAAGATGCACAGTCCAAGACACTCCAGAGACCTCTCACTAATTAAACCTCTGAAACTTTCTATAACTCTGTCCCCTTACATAAGCATCAGCTCACAGCTGTTCCTGATGTCTCTGCAAGAGGGGAAAGAAAACTACTGGTTGAGTCTCCACTCAGAATTTGACAGCTATTCGGTAAAAGCCTTTATTATTTGTTTATTGAGTCACTTAAACCAAGAGGTTCTGAACTGGGAAGCAGCCAATGGAAGTGAAATACACTTGGATTGCTAAACTTTCTTTCAGCAGTGATAGTTTCTCAGTGTGGTACATCAGGTAGAATGCAAGTATTGCTGTTCTAGTCACAGAACTGTAAAAATACATTTAAAGTTCACAAATAGAAAATAGAGCCACATCCTGCTTACTAGAATGGGGCACTGCAGAAAAGAAACCAATAAAAAATAAAAACCAATACACCAAAACCATAGATTAATTGCCAACTAGTTACGAAATAATTACACAGTTACTCGTTAAAATGAGTAGAATTGTCTGCTAATAACAATTAAATGATGGTGGCTCAGTTTCACATCAATGACTTTATCACAGTAAGATATACAACTACAGAGAGCAAGCTTATCATTGGTTATGTTTTCAAGTTGCATTATAACAGGATAGAAATGTTTTGATTGGTTGGGCTGAAACTGTCCCACCTGGATCTTTTCTTATATCTCTCAAAGAGAGTTCAAGTAGTTTTTTCCTAACGTAGATCTGAAAGGGAAAAAACCCCATCAATGGGGTCTATAAACTAGGCCTCATAAGAAACTTCACAACAAACAGCCAATGACCATAACTTTTGATCTAGCTGCAATGATGAAAACAGTACCTGTGGGACCAAGCCCACTTGGACTATCAAAGCTAAAAGCTTGGGCCTCTAATATTTAGCTCCAGGACTAATGTCCTTCACTAGCATCTGTAGAACAGTTACTTGTCTCTTATGGGAACTAACCAGCAGAAACAAAAAAAGACCTGCATTTTTCTACATAAATACAGATACAGCATAGCAGGTGTGGGTAATCCCCTTAAAACCAAAAAGGGAGGCAAGTAAGGCAGCTTCAGGTTCCAAAGGGGTGTTATTGATCAAAATAAGACTGGTTTTGGAAAAATAAGTGTGATGAATCCTTAGAAATGTTCTTAGTATTATTCACTGGCTCTCATTCCATTATATTTACATCTGATTGCATCAGTAGAGGGAAGGGACTTTCAGATGTAATGCCTGGCACCTGGAGAGTCGGGTAGGTGCTTAAGGTTTGATCCAAAACTCAGTGAACTCAGTGGAAAAGGCTCCCTTTGACCTTAGTGAGCTTTGGATCAGGCCCCTAACTCCCAGTAAAAATGGATAACTCACTCTTTGCTGTTGTTGCTTCTGTTGGAAAGTCCTGCTCTCCAGAAGGCAAAGAAAGAATACCTGGGCCTGCATAGTCCAGTCTGTCCAGAATCGTATCCAGAACAATGTCCTGAGGCAGCACTGTCCAACTGGTTGCTCACAGGTTCATGCAGCCTGCAGGTTCCTGCCCAGCTGCCACTCTCCCCATTGCTCCTGCTTCAGTGTCAGCTGGGGTCCCCAGGCTCCCCCTCCCTCCTCCAGCTCCCACTTCCTGACCCTGCTCATGGGTGCGGGGGAAGGGGGGCAGGTGGTAGAGCCCAGCTGTATGCATGGCAGGGGCTCCAAGGTGCCCATGTTCTTTGCATAGCAAGGGAAGGAGCCAGGCTGCATATGCAGTGTGAGGGAAGCTGCCTGTGTGGTGTGCCCAGTTGTGGAGGGGGAAGAAGTTGGATATGTGGTAGGGAGAAGCTGGGCTGCCCATGCTGTGTGTGTGGCAGGCCTGGGCAGGAGGGTTAACCTGCATGGTTGTGGCCCCAGGTTGCCCAAATGTTGGACAGCCATGCCCTGAGCCACTGGCTTTTGGAGAAAATATTAAAGCCAGTAGCATAGCTTTTGGGAGGGGGAAGTGACCATGACACCAGCCACAGGCACTGATTCAGAGGGGGCACTAAACCCGCAGCCTCCATGGAGTGTGCCCTGCTGCAGCAGCTTCTATGCCAAGAGGTAAGTGCTCACTTCCCCCTCTACCTCCCTCCCCCCCTGCCCACGCTGTCCAGGGCACTGAAATGTGAGTTAACCCTCTGATTAAAGCTTAATGCAATTTGAATGAATAACAATGAATATTTATAGGTGAAGCATGATATGACATAAAGGGCAAGGATTTCTTCCTGACTTTCACAATTGACCAGTTTGTCAATCGAGAGCCATCTCAGTTGCCTTCCAACCACAGTAATGCAACCACAGATGCACTTGTGCCAGTAATTGCCTGACACTTTTACCCTGGCCTCATGAAGTTCTTGTTATATTGCAGGCACCTCTGCTAACTACGTGGAAAGGGCAGTTTTCTGTCCGGCTGAATGTCACCAGCAATGCTGCAGTGAGCTGGTATCTGGAGAGGGTGAGCCTTTTGCAGCAGAAACTGGGAGCAACATATGTGACCTTTGAAGGTGGGGAAGGGAACATGTTTCTGGAGCAGGCAATCCATCCTCCCAGAGGACTAGAAGGGGATAAATACATCTGCATTTTAGCACTGATGGCGTCTGCACTGGGGAACTCAACAATCATTAGTGCTGGCACAAGGTAAGTCTTGGGAAGTACTCAAAATGCAAAATAAGCTACCAGAGCAACTTACTGCTCCTATTGCACTGCAGGCAGGATGGCTGGAACAGGGGGCAAGAGGCTCTGATATCAGGGGTTAAAATGGACAGAGACAAGAGCAACCACTGCAGCAACCAAAGAGGGGAAACACTTCTTTAGTGGCTGCATGGGATTCTGGGTGAATAAGATGGAGAGAGAGATTCAGTCCCAGAGCACCATTCACAGCAAAAAATCTAACTCTATTGGCTTTGTTGGCTTATTTATCTCCCGCTGAAAAGGAAGAGCTGATGACAGCTGTCATCTCTGTCATACAGGGGAACAAAAATACTTTGGGAAGGATCCTACTCTGCAAATTACAGGCATAAATGTGTTCCTGCCCAAGGCAGCAAAAGAATGTTAATGGTAACATGCAGTCATCTTAGCCTTAGGGGTAAGTCACAAAAAGCAGCAAATAGTATGACGACCCACCCACCTTCTGTGTTAACTCTTTTTCAGGGACTTGAGCATGATGAGATAGGATTGTACTTAAGTCAGGGCAGTTGGATCTGACCACTAGCAACTGGTTGTTCCTTCCAGACTGTAGTCACATTATTATTATGGGAAGTACTAATACAGCCAATCTGAAAACATCCCTTCCAAGACTTCTTACTACCCATGCTGCCAGGATGTCCTGCCCAATAGGAAGGGGTTTATTTAATAGGTGTTGCTTGTTATCTTATCAGCTAATCAGCTAGCTAAGCAGAGTATAACCTGCCGGACTCCTCTTGTCTTGGCTTATGGAACTAAACTTTGGAATCTACTGGAGTAATGCCTGCCAGAGATTCAGTTCCTTTCCATAAATGTACTTTTAGGTTTTTTTTATTTTATTCAAACTTTCTGGTCCCAAACTTTGAAAATGTTTTTTTCACAAGGAAAAAATAATTGGAACAATCCTATTTCAGTCAGTAAATTTCAACAAGTTCTGTTCTCAATACACAGGTTGCATCGCTATGAGTGGGAATGTGTGGTTTGCAGCACCTCAGAGCTTTTTGAGGTGCTGCAAAATGGATGAGGTGCAAGTTAATCTGTTGGTTGTGCTGCATACTTGCAGTGTAGCAGCAAAACTAGATACTGGGAAATCCCAGTATCTAAAAAAACCCACACCAAATAAAGTGTCATGGCGCACATGGCAGCAGTGTGCACCTCCTAAAACTAGAGCCTGGCTGACCATAGCCATGCTCTGGTTGCCAGCCAGGCTCCACACACTCAGATCGCTGCTGCTGCAGCCCCAAGAGGCTTGGCAAGAGGCAAAATGAGGATTAATGTAATGGTTTATGAAGGACTTCTGGAAGCAGAAAAAGAGTAGCTACAAATGGATGGGCAAATACGTGCAAGGTTATGGGAACAGCTTGCTAGCCTCCTGTTTTTACTGTTTCACTGTTAGCCAATGCTTATGAATGGTCAAGGAGACCACATACCTTCTGCCCACCTGTAACCCTACAGCAGATTTAGAGAAATCTGTTTAAATATATATTTAAAAGGGAAACTTGAAGCCGATTTTGAAGTTACCTTTTCTTGCTATTTTCTCTCTCATCAGAAGCTTGGATATATTTTTCCCCTCCTCTCAAGGGAGTCTCTTTACTCAAGGGAGTTTTGCTTAAGTAAAGTCTGAAGGTTTTTGACATAATTGTATGTCCTGAAAAGCACCACCTGGGTGATCTTATGGTCCTACATATGTGCTGCAGTGACTATGGCACCAGAAACCTTGTGTCTCCTATGTGTGTTTTGAGGGCCCAGTTTGATACCTGCTGAAATGAATGGAACCAAATGGTCATGAGATCAGGCCTTGGGTTTGGCACACAAGGAGATAACAAAGACATGACAGAAACTTTGCTAAGTACTGGAAAGATAAGTATCATGGTATTGTTGAGGAAGTGACTAGGCTAATGACCATTCAGAGAAAGACCAGGTTTAATGCAGGGGCTGAGACAAGCTGAATCTAATGCATAGCTTTTACAGCTTATAAAAGCACTGTGCCTTCTCTCTAACCAGCCGGATTCCAGCATGGTTACAAAACATGAGTTATATCAGAGCCAAAAAGGAGGAGTTACTTCCTCAGAGCTCACCAGATTTGCAGGATCAAGATCAAGGGATTCCCCACAGGGAAACAAAATCCATTTAAACAATTACTTGATATTTTTCTCTTCATGATGGAAATTTTGGAGAAAGCACCTAAAAAGCTAACAGTGATGTTTCTCCACCTGTAAGGGTCAACACTTTTACAAGCGTCTAATGATTCTATGTGAGAAGTTGATCTTGGAGACATTAAGGAGGATTTATAGAGATCTAGAGTACAGTCACATAGTTATTTGAATCCAGGCAACTATTATTTTTGAGGAACATTCTTTTTTTAATTCATAGGATCATAGGAAAGTAGGGCTGGAAGGCACCTCACAAGGTCATCTAGTCCAGCTCTGTGCTCAAGTCAGGATCAGTCCTGACTAAAGCATCCAACCCAAGTGTCTAGCCAACCTGCTCTTGAAAATTTCCAAGGGGGGAGAGTCCACAACCTTTCTAGGGAAATCTAAAGAGGTTGTGGAATTTCTATCTTTGGAAATGCCTGACCACCCTTGTAGACAGAAAGTTCCTCCTAATCTCCAATCTAACTTTCCTCTTCTGCAGCTTGAGCACATTGCTCCTAGTCCAGTCCTCTGTGGCCACAGAGAAATTCCCATCTCCATTTTCCCTATAATCCCCCTTCATGTATTTGAGGACTGTTATCAAATCCCCCTTTAGCTTTTTCTTCTCCAGAATAAAGGATCCGTACACATTAAGTCTTGCTTCTCAGGTCCCTAATAATTTTGTAGTTCTGTGCTGGACACAGTACTCCAGGAGAGACTGCACCAGTGCTGAATAAAGTGGAAGAATCTTCCCTTGGTTTGCAAGTGACACTTCTGTTAAGATCACCTGGCAAGCTGAAAAGAGCACATTATCCGCTCATATTGAGTTTATGGTCTACTGTAATCCCCAGGTCCTTCTCTGCAGTACTGCACCCTAGCCAATTATCCCCACATTTGTATTTGTGCATGCAGTTATTTCAACCAAGTGCTGGACTTTGGACTTCTCCTTGTTGAATCTCATTCGATTGAATGTGGACCATTTTTCCAGTTTGTTCAGGACATTCTGGATCCTAGCCTTGTTTTCCAAATTGTCTACAACTCCATTCAATGTTGTCACCTGCAAATTTGTTAAATATGTACTTAGTTCCATCATCCAAATCCTTAACAAAGATGTTGAACAATACCAGACCCAGGATGGATCCCTGAGTGACCTTACTTTATATCTCCTTCCAACTAAACATTGAACCGTTGATGACTACTCATTGAGCACGATGATGCAACACCAGTTATATATCTACCTTATAGTCCTTTGATCTAGTCTGTACTTCCTCAGCTTGATAATGAGAATGTCATGGGAGATAGTGTCAAAAGCCTTGCGAAAGTCGAGGTTTTTTGCATCCACTTCTCCCGCCCCATTCACAGACCTTGTCACCTTATCACAGAAGAAAATCAGATTAGTTCACTGACATAGAAGTGACTGACTTACTGACAAAAGTTCCAGCTGGACTTCAGAGGGCTATGACACTGTTTCTATCAGAGAGATTTGTATATGGGGCACAAAATAACCACATGAGAAAAATCTTGTCAGTGGTATAACCCAAGCTATAGTCTTTTGATAAACAATTCATAAAATACAGGTTCAGCTTTTAGTTATGTAACTGAGAACAAGCAATTAGTGCTTGCATCTTAAAGTCAGTAAAAGAAAATATGAAATGAAGGAAATCTGAGTAACAATCTATCTATTAGATAAGAACAATTGCTAAGGAATAGTTTGGCATTTGGTCAAATATATATATGTTTAAGATGCATTGAAAAGTTAAGGCCGGGAATATCCATGCCACACTGATGCTATGATTCAGACCCCTCTCGGCCATGTCTAGAATTTCCTGTTTGAGACTAACAAATGTAACCAAGCATTAATGGTCTACCTGTAGCCCTTTAATGTAGATCACTGATTCTCAGCCAGGGTGCCATGACATGCTGGTGTACCTTGAGATCCTTTTAAGGGTGTCACAGGGTACCAGGAAATGTTATTGGCACTGAGAAGTGAGCAAACATGATTTACAAGATAAACCTGGGCATCTTTACATGTGCTCCAGGGTGTGGGGGTTGCATTTTAATTACAGCGGCTCCCGGAAGCTGCTCTAATTAAAACACCCACGGTGTCTTGTGTATTCAGCGTCCCTGCACTTCAAAATGGCAGCAGGAGTGATTTAACTAAAGCTCATTTGACAAGCTTTAGTTAAAGTGTCCCCACAGCCATTTTGCAATGCAGGGACACTGAATGCACGTGAATGCTCCAGCAGACTCAATTAATCAAGTCTGCTCTGACGCATTCTAATTAGAGCACATCAGAGCAGGTGTCGGAAATGTGTATAGGTGCCCAGAGGTTTCAACTAGAAGTCCAAAGCATCAAAAATGTTCTGATCCGTTGTGGTCTTTCTGAGTTCTTTGTAACAGAAGGATTGCTCTATTATTTTTCTGTAGTAAAAAAACCCAAAACAACAACAAAAAACAAGTGAAAACTAAGACCTGGCCTTTTCCAAGGTGTATGTTGAATCTATTGAGGGGTGCCTCAGATCTAAAAAGGTTGAAAACCACTGATCAGATACTGGAGAGCAATGCAGTGTTTATTCCATGAAATAGCTACTGTTATAAGCAAAGAAAAGATGCATAACATTAAACTAAGGCTTCTGTCTTATTCAGGACAGAAATTATTGGCATAAAGGCAAGTAACTATTCCAACTTGCATTAAAAAAATGTTGTATACCTCATTTCTAACAGTAAATATAAAAGCACTGTGTGTGTATAGGCTATAGATATACTCACCCATTAAGTTAGTTCAAACTTTCCTGATAATGCCAAATAATTGAATAAGGTGCATAATGGGGAAAGTATCAAATGGATACAGAGTATAGTGTTTTTTAAACAAGAATTTAAGGCGATAAATCCATTTACTCCAGTAGTCTGGTGGTCCGAGAAAAAAAATATTCACTTGATGGTTTTGACAAGCCATGGATTACCCTATTTAAACATGGAAAACAGCATACAGGCTGGTCTAATGCCAAGCATGTCAATGAAAAGCCAAACAAATTAAGAATGTTCACAATCCATGCGACTCTTTGACATATCAAATAGTAATTGCACAGATCTGCAAGGGATTAACAAGTTACCACATAAAACTGTCCAAAATGGTATCCAGGCAACCAGTTCATCTGGAAAAGAGGATCTCAGATGACAAGAATCTTTATTTCCAGAATAAAGACTGTGGGTAATCCAAGGTAACAAAGAGATCGTCCAAGACCTATTTGAAGTATTTGAGGATAAGTCTATGCTGCAGTAGTTGCTGTGATAGCCATACAGCACAGGCATCACTCAAACTAGTTTTAAACCAATAGCTGGAGAAAGAAAGAGCTCGGTGTCAGCCAACTGCCCAGGATTTGTTCAGCTTTTAAGGCAGACTTAGCAGCTCATGCTGAGTTCCATGCTGCTGTGGCTAGACTGTACTTGAGCTGACTAGTTTAAAGCTAACTTAAGATATGTCTCTGCTGTGCTACCATCACTTCACTGCAGTTGTGCCATTAAAGTGGGGCCAGCATCAGCTGACCCTAGAGAAAGAGAAGAAAATTCAGCTCTTCAACGACTGGGTGGGAGAGCAAGAATATTGGAGAACATAGCCATAATGCCCAAAGTCAGCAAGCCCATGCAGCACTTGGGAGAAACTGTCACATAAACATCCTGGAGTGAATCAAGTTAGGGGTTGTCCAGAGACAGGCAGCCAGATCCATGCAGGACTGAAATAAACTCTATCTGGCTAACAAAGTAAGTGGGAAAACTTTCAAAACCCATAGACTACCTAGATATCTTCTTATTTCAGAATGTGGTCCGCAGACCTCTAGGGTCTGCAGACTATGTTTAAGGGGTTTGCAAAAGAAGACTATGATCAAATATGTGAATAGCCACACTTCCAATTCAAAGGGGTCTGCACCGCCATTTGAAATTTCCCAAGGGGTCTGCACCTCCATTCAACATTTTTTAGGGGTCTGCAAGTGAACAAAGATTGAAAATCACTGTCCTAGCCAGTTTAAATTACTAAAAAAGAGGCTGAGTCAGGGTTGGTATGGTACCTCTAGGGTGAGAATGACTGTGCTATTAGATATCACCTCTGAGCAAGCCAGCTATGCAACCAGTGCCTCCAGAAGCATTAAGTAGATGAAGTCTTATCTCAGTACTAGCCTGTTAACAAAAAGTGCCAGACCTTCTCTTTCTAACCAGCCTGGCTTCTAAACATTGATGAAAAGTTCCAAGTCTTTCTGGGGTTTGCTGCTCATCTGCCATTGTTCCTCCTAGATCTAATCACCTGCCGCTCTTCGTTCAAATGTCCTCACTTCAGTCGGACTGGAGTTATGCTGGTCTGAAGAGCATTATTCCTTCTGTGCTTCACTACAGTCTCCTTGGCTACAACTTCTTCATTCCAGATGCAGTTGGTAATCTTTTTATTTTTTATGATCTATTTGTATCAGACCATTCTGCATTAATTTTATGAAGGCAAAAGCAGTCCCTATCATTAAAGCAAGAGGAATGTGTGTGATCTGTTAACTCCAACAGCAAGTTGCTGAAAACCATACTGTGCTATATCAGGGCACAGCCTCAGGCTTTTTGTTGGTACCATATTTTATTCTGTATCAAAGGTGTTTGATTTACAGGAAACCCTCGCTATTTGCGGGTTCGGCATTCATGGTTTCAAATATCCACGAATGCCAAAACCACATTTTAAATACACTTTATACACTTACAGGAGCTCCTCGGGAGCTCCGTGCTTGCTGCTGCTGGGCTCCTGCCATCATCGCCGGGCTCCTGCCGTCGCCGCCAGAGCTGGACTCCCCTCCTCCCCCAGCCGCTGTGGGCGCTGTGTTCATGAACGCAGACTGCGCTCATGAACGTGGTGCCTTATTCACGGATTTCGCCATTCATGGGGATCACGAGAACGTATCCCCTGCAAATGGCGAGGGTCGCCTGTACTGTTAACAGGAATTAACTAAGGAATTAAAAAAACCCCAATAACCTTTTAAAAAAAATTAGCCAGGAATTCCATATGTATCCAGTTCCTTGGGGCTATATTTCAAAGAGCTGCTTCACTTGGTGCTGAAGGCATCCAAGGCATGCCTAGCACATTGACAAGATGCCAGAACCTTCAGGGCTGCAAGTGATTTGTATGAACTAGAACAGGTTGTGCCAACCATCCCCAGGATGCACTGTGGCACTACTCTACTTGTCATGTGGTGTGATTGAGTACCAGCAGTGTCTCCTCCAGGTGTTGGGCTTGATCCTTGACTGCTATAAATAGTATAGCCCAAGGGTTAGGGACATTTTGCAGTGGAGACTATTTTAATGGAACTTAGCTCACAGTATGGGGTACTTCCAATCAGGCCTGCACTGCTGTCACTAGAAACAGAGCTGGAGCCATAATCACCACTCCCCACCTCAGAAATGCTACTGAAGCCCCACCACCTCAGAAACACTGCCAAAGCCCCCCAACTTTGCAGGCTGGATAAAATCACCCTGCGGGTTGGATCCCTCCCATGGTCCATAGATTGCCAACCCCTGCATAGCTTCATTGAAGTCAGTGAAATCTTATACCAGTGGATGGCCATGCATCTCTTATCAGGCATGAATCTGGGGTCAGTAAGGAAGCAAATAGAACAGCACCAACTACTATCTTTCCTCAGGCAGTAGCATATGCTTGCTTTGTGCTGCATCTCTGGATCCTCCTTGGGCTGTCCCTACAATCCCACTGGTACTACCACTAGCATAAGTAGGGGTAGGTGACCAAGGCCCTGGGTGCTGAATAAGGGGGAGCACTGGAATGGAAGCAAGACATGTTGCTGCTGCAGAGGGAAGTGTTGGTGCGGCCAGCAGCCAGAGAGTTAACCCTCTTACCTGCCCCCACAACCCCTTTTTTTCTCCACTGAAGTAAAGGTTTCATATTATCACTTGGATTGGTGGTAGCTGCTGTGTTGACCCCATAGCTGCTAGCCACACTGCAAGACACCTCCTTGCTAGCAGCAGCTCTTTCCTGC